GGAATGAATCCTATTTGGTGATAGTGTATGATCTCCTTGATGATTTACTGCATTCTGTCTGCTAGTATTTTATTGAGGAATTTTTTTCATTTATGTTCTTTTGGGAGATTGGCCTGTAGTTTCTTTTGTTTGGTTGGGTCTTTCTCTGGTTTTGGTATTAGGATAATACTTGCTTTCAGGAGTGAGTTAGGGAGAATTGTTTCCCTTTCAAATTCATTAAAGGCTTTGAACTGTATTGGTATTAAACCTTCTCTAAATTACTTTCAGAATGCAGTTGTGAACTCACCAGAACCCAGGCTTTTCTTTGTTGGTCAGTTTTTAATTATGTTTTCAATTTCATTGCTTGATATTGGGTTATTAAGAATTTTCATATATTTTTGATTAAGTTTTTGTAATTCATGTTTGTAGGAATCTGTCCATTTCTTCTGTGTTTCCACTGTATGTGAGTAAAGATTTTTGAAGCAGGTATTGATGTTCTTCTGAATTTCCACAAGATCTGAGTAATTTCATTCTTTTCATTCCTTACTGCATGAATTTGATTTTTTTCTTTCCTTTTTTGGTAAGATTGTCTAGGAGATTTTCAATTTTATTATTCTTTCAAAGAAACAGTTCTTCAGTTCATTGCATTGTTTTCTTAGTCTCAGTTGCATTACTTTCTGCTCCAGTCTTTATGATTTCCTCCCTTCTTTGGGCTTTGTGGTTGACTTCCTTTTCTTTTTCTAAAAGTTTGAGGTGTAGCACAAGGTTATTTATTTGTGTCTATTCTGTTTTCCTGATATGAGAATTCACTGGGTTAAAATTCCCTCTGAGGATTGTTTTCATTGCACCACAGAGGTTTTAGTAATTTGTATTTTAATTTTTTGATTGTCTATATTGTTTAATTTTTTCTTTGATTTCATCTGTGATCAATTGGTTCTTCAAGAGGGTATTATTTAATTTCCATGTGTTTATGGAGTTTTTACAATTTTTTTGTCAAGAATTTCCAATTCCATTGCACTATGTTCATATAATATACATGTGATAATTTCAATTTCTTTGCATTTACTTAAGCATGTTCTATGGGCTAGTATGTGGTCTCTTTTAGAGAAAATCCCATGTATAGCTGAAAAGAATGTGCATTCTGACATTATTTGGTGTAACACTCTGTAATGTGTTTCTTTTGCTCAAAAATTTTGTTCAGTTTTTGTATTATTTTGCTGTTTTTTTGGTCTAGTTTGTCTATCTCTTTACAAAAATGGAGTATTAAGGTCTCCTGTTATGATTGTGTTACTGATTATTTAATTTTTATGTCTACTCATATGTCTTATCATGTTGGTTGCTCCCATTTTTGGTGCATAAACATTTATGATTTTCATTTCTTCTTGAAGTTTTACATTAACAGGTATGTAGTGACCCTCTTTCTCTCATTTTGATCATTCTTGCTTTGAAATTGTCTGCAAACAAAATAGCTACACTGCTTTTTTTTTTTTCTGGGTTCCTGTCTTATGGAGTATTGTTTTTCATCCATTGATTTTCAGTCTATAAATTTCCTTTTGAGGTAAATATATTTCTTATATACAGTGTACTGTTGGATTTTGTTTCTTGATCTACTCAATCAGCCTGTTTCTTTTGGTTGGTGAATTGAGTCCAACTATATTCGTGATTATAACTGATACATATTGTCTTATCTTTGTCATATTATTTTCCTACCATAGGTTCCTTACTTTCTTCCTCTATTTAATTGCTTTCCCTGCTTGGTGGTCTCTTTCTACTGTTTATCTGGGAATTTTTAAACATTTTTATTTCTTTCTAGAATTTCTTTTCTTTCAGTACTCTTTGTAGGGTTAGTTTTGTGCTAATGAATTTCTTCAGTTGTTCTTATTTCTCCAGTTATTTTGAAGGATAGTTTTGCAAAATACCTCAATCTGGGTTGAAAGTTGTTTTCTTTCAGACTTGAAATACTTCACTCCAAGTTCTTCTTGCCTGGGGGTTTTGGGCTGAGAAGTCTGTCATGATTCTGATCATCTTTTCTTTTAAATGATCTGTTTCTTTTCTCTAACAGCTTTTAATATTCTGTTCTTGTGCTGAGTTTCTGAGATCTTGATTATTGTAGGTCTGTGTAGATTTATTCTGGTTAAGGCTAATTATAGTTCTAGTTTCCTTACTTAGCTGTATGTCATATTCTTTTCCCCTGTTTGGGAACTTTTCTGCTATCACTTCTGCAGATAGTCTTTTTATGTTATTTGTGTTTCTCCTGCTTTTTCTTTGACACCTATCACTCCCTCACAGCTTGCAGAGGCTCCCCCAATGGGGAGGGCAGAAGCACAGTTTAGAAACTGACTAAGCAAGATAGCTATTGATTTTTTACCTTAACCATAGTCACAAGTTCCACTGCCACCATGGCCCTCCTCTGCTGTAGTCTGTCACTTGCCAGGAGAGACGGAGACTGCTGGGGTGCCTTCCTGCTTCTGCCTCAAGTATCACTGGGACTGCCTAGGGCTGCACAGTCAGGATTGTTTAATTCCTAGTGAATTTCTAACCACAAGTCATAGAGCAGGGGTTAGCTGTTACATTTACTATGCACCTGTGTAGTCTTTAACCTTGTTTGTGGTGGCTCCAGTTAGTGGTCTTGTGCACAGATGGAATGAGATAAAAGGGAAACAGAAAAGGAAAGGAAAAAAGAGGAAGAAAGGAGAGAAAAAAGAAAACTAGCCAATTGTCAAGAGGGACAAGTTTGGGCAGAATTTACTACTGAACTGTAGTGTTCTCTATTTGGAGGAAGGCAGAAAATAGATATTAAATCTCTAGTCTATCCTTTATGGCTTGGTTTAGCCATGTTATTTTAGTATACCCTTTTTTTTCAGAACTGGGGATTAAACTCAGGCCCTTGCACTTTCCAGGCATGCACTTATTCTACTGAGCCATCTCCCCAGCCCCGAGTATATCCTTTTTTAAAGATTCCAAGTTGAGCGGGTATTTGTCTCGATCCAGTGAACCACTCGCAGACAGGTGGACTGCTAAACTTTATTAAGTCTTTCATCTGTGTTTTTCTTGATGTATTAGGTTAGGTTCATTTTAGTTTCAGGATGTATGTGCCTCCTCTTTCTCCCAATTGCTTGTGTTTTAGCTGAATTTCTCTGAACAGCTCTGAGCAGGACTCCTCCACTATTCAGCCATGTTGTTTCTCTCCACAAATTGTTTGCCATTGGTAAAGTGGCTTTACCCTGTGGTGGGGAAATTTAAGAAGGATAGTGTATAACACACAGTAACTGAAAAAGAGGTAGACACAAGGCTGCAGGACAAAGAATGATCACATAAGCCTTAGGAAACTAGAGAAGAGGGCAGAAACGAAAGAAAAGGAGTAAACAAGGGATTAAATGAACTTGGTCTCTGGGATTGGGGGATAGGATTAATTTTCTGTGGCCATAGTTCTACCCAGCTGTTTAGAAAATAGGGGGAAAAAAGGTAAGAAAAAAAAGAAAAAAGAAAAAGAAAGGAAGATAAAAATAAAACAATAAAATAAAATTTAAAACTGGGTGGCCCCTCCTGTCTGCTTCTCTTCCTGTCTCTCTGGCCCCAGGCACAGTGCTGGTTTGCCTAATTTTCTGCCTGTTGGCTCCTATTGTTAATATTGCTTTGCACTTTTCCACCCCACTAGTTCTTCCTGTCCATTGTATGTGCCCCAGTTGGGGTCCTACTGTGTGGCTGGCATTCCTGCTGGTCACCGTCTCACTAATGTGGTGGCCGTGAGGGTTGCAGTTGCCTGATCCCTCCAGTCCATCTGATTGCCGGGTCCTGGATTCTTTCTGTGCCTGTTGCCAAGTCCCACAATGTAGGGGGAGCTTTTCTTATTTTTAATTGCATTGCAAGCTATATCCAAGCCCTGGTAGTAACAATGTACTAGGTTGTAGTGTATAGGTAAGTGGCAGGAATGACCATATTGGCAAAGGGACAAGAATATTGTAGGGCACAGATGGCTCTAAAAACAACAGTTTAAGATTTTTAACTTTATAATAGTGCAAAAGTGATATTCATTCAGTAGAAATCGTCCTCTGAATTTTGATCTTTCCCTAGCATCGGGGTGGATGTGTGATACCGTACTCAGTTGCAAGCCTGGCCAGTGGTAGAGCTGTGGTTCCTGAAAGTGGGAGACTTTCAGGGCAAATAATCAGTGTTTCATAGTGAATATGGCCAGCATTGTTTTGGACAGAAGTATTAAATAAATTCCATGAGATACTCAACATTCAATTATAAAATAATTTTTATGTTAGATGACTTTGGTCACCAATAGACTATAGGCAAATGTATGTGTTTTGAGCATATTTAATGTAGCTTATTCTATGCTGATATTCATTAAGTTACAAATATTAAATATATTTTTTGCCTATGTTATCTTCAACCTATGTTGGATTTTTTAGGATGTGACCCCATCCTAAGTAGAAAAGTAGTATTAGTCATGAAGTGGTATACTTTAAAAAAATGTACATTTGATGGTATAGATCAATTATTATAATTGTTTACTAAAGGAATTGAAATGATATACTAAGAAGGATACAATGGAAATTAAAATCAGAGAAGGCAGTAAAAAGGAAATAAGAAAAGAAAAAACAAGTGCAATACATTAGAATGGCTCATATGATAGCTTTTAATTCAATTTTACCAATAATCACTTTAAATGTTTCAAAAGATCAATTTAAAAGATAAATATTATCAGGGTAAATTACCATAATAAATGCAGAGTTTTATGAATAAGGCAATGCTAAAACAAATAGTTTTCATAGCTTCAATAGTTTAACACAAAATGAGACTCTTGCTCAAGTAAAAGTTCATCAGAGACTCGTAGCAATGGGTAGGCATAACTGGCCAACATCCATGTGTAGGGAGCCGAGGTCTTCCTATCTCATCAGCCCTATGATTTCACAAGTTCTCTTTCTTAGTGCTACAAAGTGGGAAGAAAGGCAGTAAAAGATCAGGAATCATAGAGATGGAATGAGTAAATTTTTTCTCAAAAATGTCTTCAGATACTTACCTGGTAGGGAAGATACCATGACCACGAAGGTGGTTTTCTCAAGGCGAGGCTGGTCTGTTGCACTCTGGATGTGCTGACCCCTGTGATTTCCCCAAATGTGGGAAAATCTACTGCATAATTTGTAGTAGTAGGGGACTGTGTTCGTGCTCTCCCCTGGGGGGAGAAATGTCTTCAAGAATGACAAGTTAATTAAAAAATATACATTTCAGAGTGAAGGTATGAACCATTAGATATTGGAAGTTATCTTTAGGAACATCAATTTAGGGCATAGTGTTTCATCAATATAATGTGTAACTTATTAAAGGAAAATATGGTAATTTGAATACATTTGCTGAAAAATCTCACAAAATAGCCAAAAGTCAAACAAAAGAAAAAACAAACAAGCAAAAGAAACTTAAGTGAAAAAGACAAGGAAAAAAGTAAGGTTTATTGACAAGAAGAGTTAATATTTAATTGTTTGATCAATCTTGCATATCTATATCTAGTAATCAGAGCAACAAATTTGGTGATAACAATCAGTAATATAAGAACAATCGTTACTTTTCTATTCTTTGAAATTTTATTTATTTTTATTTTTTAATGTATTTAGGACAAAGCCTACAGGGTCTATAGGGTCTCACTACATACATTGGACTCATAGTGATTCTCCTGTTTTCAGCCTCCCAAGTGCTAGGAATACAGGCGCATGCCCCCATGCCCAGTCTTAGTTGCCACCTCAGTATGCCCTGGAGGGGGTGCTGGCACGGCATGCTGGGGATCGAACCCCGGCCACTGTGCTCTGCCTAAGCAGGCACTTTAGTCTGCTGAGCTATCTGACCAGCCTGAAATTCTATGCCATTTCTATTACTTTATATTGGTTTCTTTCCGTTTCTGTTTTTGTTCTTATTATTTGTTTTTGTTCTTATTTTTCCTCAAAAAAAAAAAAAAAAAAACCTAAAGGAAAATAAAAAAAATTAGATCATGTTAAAATTATTTGTACAATTTCTGGAAACTAATTTTAATAAGTTGTTTTGTTTATTTTGGCAAAATGTTCATTTTAAATGTTAAATGGTCCAATTTCGTGACTATCTGAAGCTAAACTTGCTTAAACAAAAAATGCTGGCCTAAAATACTTGCTTGTCTCTTAAATTTATGACTTTTGTTTCCATTCAGTTACCACATATTTCCATGTGGATGGTCTAGCAGATAATTAAAGTCATACGCTAAAAATTTTAAAAAAGCTTCCCTCAAAGGATGTCCAATATTGAAAAGAGATTATGAAGACAATTTAATCAGTTCTTTAGACAGTAGAAAGGAGAAAAAAAATAAGTACAAATAAAACAAAGTGTTAGAAAGGCAATCAAATATGTAAAAATATTTCAGTGGGTACAAATGAATTAAACACAGATCACAAAAATGAGTTTAATTTTAGATTCTAGAATATTTGTACTTTTTATTAAGAAAAACCAATATAGTTTCATAAGGGTTAAAAGTAAACAAATACTATAAAGACAGGTAAATCTGTATTAATACACTGCCAAATAGATGAGAAACCAAAAATGTAAAAGATAAGAGACCTATTTCATGATGATAAATCAGCTATTTCCCAAGAAGATCTAGCAGTCCTGAATCTGTCTTCAAAAATTTGAGTGACGTGCTGAGATAGTGATTGAGACTGGGCATGGTGACACACATGTAATCCCAGTGCTTGGGAGGCCAAAACAGGAGAATCACTACGAGTCCCATCTACGTAGTGAGACTGTGTAGGCCCTGTCCTAAATATGCTAAAACAAACAAACAAACAAAACGAGAGAAATTAGAAAATTTTTTTAAAAATAACATCTGCATAAGAGATCTTAACACAACTCCATGATATAGTGGTAGATCAAATATTAACTTTATATGCAAAAAACCCGAAACACCACAATTAATATATTTTGCCTAATAGATATATTTAAAAGGCATCATCCCATAATTAGAGAATATAGAGGTTATTTTTCACACACTTATAAAACATCTATAAAATTGGTTATATAACAGGCCACAAAACACCTAAGTCTCAATGAATCAGCATGGTATTTTCTAATAGGCAATACAATCACATATTAATGTTTTCAAGTAGGCCATTCAGCTTATGTGATTTGAATTTTAGGGCAATACTCTAATTTATTTCATGGAGATAATATGAATATGTTAATAAGAACGACATTGATGGCTAGAAATTGTTACAAGATGCCAGGGTCTTGTAACATTCTGAGTGTATATATCCATATATCTCCTAAAATCTAATGGGTAAATTCTACTGTCATTGCTACTATTTTGCTGATGAAGAATCTAAAACATAAATCTATTGGGTAGATTGTGCTGAAATTCAAAGCCCAGACACTTTGATTCTAGAGACACTGAAAATTAGCAATAAACTGCAACAAAATACTACATTTTAAAAGTTGTAGAAGGCAATTAAAATAGCTAAATAAATTTTAGATAGTTGAGAGTTGTATCTTGATTTCATATAATATTAAAGAAGATACATTAAAAATTAATGTATTAATCATCAGTAAAAGTTAGAAAAAAATCAACTCAAAGAATATACACATATATATGTATATTCCTTTTATATACATTTTTAATCCATTCTTCAGCACACAAGCTATAGTCAGTTGGAAAGAAACTGTTCAAAAGAAAAGACAAACTGTAATTGGAGAAAGGGAAAAAGAAGAATGTGAAAAAGAAAACTATGAGTATACACAAGATATTTAAACTAGTTATACAGTTAGTTTCTCTTAGTTCATTAAAAAGCAAGGTTTATGCTACTCTTGTTTGGACAAAGCATTATACCTATAACCTGTACTCTGAATAACTACTATAAGGGCAACAATATGTAACATATTAATTATTGTAACTCTCCTACTAACCTGTTTTAAAACTCTGTTTTATTATAATTTTTTATTTTTCTCTTTAAAAATACAGCAAGGGGCTGGTGAGATGGCTCAGTGGTCTAAAGCACCTGCTTGGAACAAGCTTGACAAAGCACAGGGACCACGGTTCAATTCCCCAGCACCACATGCCAGCCAGCCCGCCCCCTGGTGGGCTGAGCTGGCCACACACACACACTAAATAAATAAATGTAAAAAAAAATTAAAAAATAAAAATAAATAAAAATAAAAAAATAAAAATAAAAATACAGCAAGCATAAATAAATCATAAAGCTAGAACAAAAATTTTAAAAGAGAAAGAAACATGGCTTATAGACTTAGAACTTGTTTTTGTATAACAAACTTGTCTGGGAAACTGACCCAGAAGTCAGTAAAACACATAATAATAAAATAAGAGCTTGACCACTGATAGAAAAGAGAGGAAAGAATTAATGGAAAGTCTATTAACAAGTATTGCATTGACACTTAGGCATAAAGTATCTAGTCAGTTTTCAAGAAAAATATTTATTACCCAAACTGACAACTATAAATGATTTTGGAACACCTAAGTAATCTAAAACCACTGTAGTCCCTTACTAGGTGTCAAGAATCTATTCATATAATGGGCACAAAGTCAGATAATTTTAGGTACCAACTCTTAAATGTATAGGTAACATTTCTCTTAGGCATTCTTTCCAAGATTGAGTAACAGAAATGCTCGTAACCAAAGTCATGAGGTATAGATAGTATTCCTTCCTTCAATCATGAGGTCAGTTTAAATGATGGGTTAATGGCTAGGATCAATATACAGTTACATTCTCTTAATGAACAGAGGGATTTGTTCTAATGGTGTTTGTAAGTAGGATATCATGTCTGCATCTTGTACAGCAGTTAACCACTAGGAAGAATGTATGCAGTGTGTTAATTATTGAAACTGTCCTACCAGTTTAGTTTGAAATTGTCTCATTGCTATTTGTTTCTCAATAAATTTATGGAAAAAAATAAATGATGGGTTAATTTTATTATAAACATAACTAGGAAACAAAAATATTAACAAATTACCAAGTATCATATATTTATACAAAGATGTAGCATTTAATTTTCTAAATATGCAGATGAGTGTTTTATAATTGACACACTTAAGTTGTTTTCTGTAACAAAGTTGCATAATGATGAAAACATTGCCAAACATCTGTTTTAAAAATTTTGTCTTGATAGCAGGAATTATTTCCAAAACAATAATTTTCTTATTTCTTATTAAAAATGCTTCTTTTATATTGGAACTCATTAAGGGCGTGTGTGTATGTGTGCATGTGTGTGCATGTGTGTATTTAAATACTGCTAACCAGGCATTTTTCATTACAGAAAAGGTCAGAAATTTGGAACAGCTGGTTTTTAAAAATACATGAACAGCATCTAACTCATCCCTCAGCTTCTCCAACTTTTTGAAAAGGCTTTGCCATGAAACAACAAGCAAGTCTCTTGATGGAGCAGAGAATTCTTATGCTGACTACCCATTTTAGTCCAAGTAATTGTAAATAGTTTCTACTCAATGTGAAATAGCATCAAAATTCACTGTGATGAAATCCTAAAGTGCATTTGGCTTGTAAGTGGAGTTATAGAGCTACTTTCAATCTGCATTTTAAGTATTAGTAAACTGAGTTAGGTTTTATGATTTTAGCTAAATATTAATATAAAGGGCTGTCTTGCATACCCTTTGGATACTTTCCCCCTAGAAGCTGCTACCCTGATGAGGGAAAGCCAGCATCCCTTCCATATCAAGTATATGTTAGTGTCTGGCTGTCAATCAGGCCTTAGGACAAACCACCAGACAGGAGTAGGATGCCCAGTGTCTATTTTGAGGCTTCATGATCCCCTCCGAGAAGGTTAGCAACACTATTCAATGGTCAAATGATAAAATCTTACATTTTAATGTGTTACATTTCTAGAGGTTGGAATTTGAAGTATTTCTACATACAGAAATGTATATGAATTCTAGTGAATTTGCATACAATGATACACTCGTTATGAAAACTATAACATGTGGCAGGAACTGTAGGGTCACACTTCAACAGGCCAGGCTCAAATACTACTTTGGAAAGCTTCCTTTTTCAAGTTTCTAAATCCAGTTCAGTGCTTGTGGAGCCCTGTTGCTTTTTACAAACACTAATAGAAATTTCAACTACCCCTCAATAGACTTAAAAGACACATCTTTTTCTATTTTAACAGTAGAACCAGACTTGCTAAAAGCATGTTATATAT